AGCCAAAATCACCACACGAACACATGGAGATTAAACAACACACTCCTGAATGATGAATGGGTCAAAAGAGAAATTAAGAAAGAAAAAAAGGTATTCCTGGAATTAAATGAAAAGGACAATACAACACAACAAAACCTCTGGGACACGCTGAAGGCTGTCCTTAGAGGGAAGTTTATAGCTCTAAGTGCCTACATCAAAATAAATGACTTAACACTGCAACTCAACACACTTGAAAAGCAACAGCAAACAAAACCCAAACCCTACAGACAAGAAGAAATAACAAAAATCAGAGCAGAAATCAATGAAATTGAATAAAAGAAAACAACACAAAGAATCAGCAATTCCAAGAACTTGTTCTTTGAAAAGATAAACAAGATTGATAGGCTGCTAGTCCATTTAACCAAAAGATAGAAAGAGGACCTCCAAGTCAACAGAATCAGAGATGAAAGGGGAAAACTCAAAACAGACACCAGAAAGATACAGAACATTATAAGGGAATACTTTAAAAACCTATATGCTACTAAATATGAAAACCTAAAAGAAATGGGCGGATATCTAAAGGCAATGGGAACTACCAAAACTAAACCAAGAAGAGATTAACAGCTTAAACAGACCCATAACACAAAAAGAAATTGAAACAGTAATACAAAATCTCCTGTATTAGAGTTCTCCAAAGAAACAGAACCAGTAGAACGAATATATATGTATAGAAAATTATCAGCTTAGCTCACAGGATAGAGTCCGAGTAGTCCAACAATGGCTGCACCACACTGGAGAGGCTGAGAATCCAGTCACTCAGTCCATGAGGCTGGATGTCTCAGTAGTCCCAATCTGGTGCTGAAGGTCTAACGAATTCCAAAAGATCAGCCAGTCTTCAGTCTGCAAGACGAACTCACCAGTGAGAGAGAAGGCAAGCAGCAAGAAGCCAGGCATTCTCCTCTGCCTTGGCCTTTTATAAGGGCTGTCATCAGAAGGTAACACCCACATTTAGGGTGTGTCTTCCAGCTTCAGATGCTCCAATCAAGATCTCTCTCATTTCAGTTAATCCCAGATCCAGTCAAGTTGATACCCAGGATTAGCCATCACACCTCCTGACTAAAAAAAGCCCAGGACCAGATGGATTTACAGCAGAATTCTATCAGACATTTAAAGAAGATCTACATCCAATACTACTTAATTTATTCAAAAAGATAGAAATGGAGGGAGAACTTCCAAATTCCTTCTATGAAGCCAGCATCACTCTAATACCAAAGCCAGGTAAAGATACAACCAAAAAAGAAAACTATAGACCCATATCCTTAATGAACATAGATGCAAAAATTCTCAACAAGATACTTGCAAACCGCATACAGACACACATCAAAAAAAATTATCCACCATGATCAAGTTGGCTTTATTCCAGAGATGCAGGGATGGTTTATTGATGTAAGTCAATAAACGTCCTAAATCATATAAATGGGCTCAAAGACAAGAACCACATGGTCATCTCAATAGATGCAGAGAAGGCCTTTGACAAAATTCAACATGAATTTATGTTTAAAGTCCTAGAGGGAATTGGACTGGAGGGAACGTACCTCAACATAATAAAAGCCACATTTAACAAACCCACAGCCAACATCATTCTAAATGGAGAAAAACTGGAAGCATTCCCACTGAAATCAGGAACTAGACAAGGCTGTCCACTATCTCCACTTCTCTTTAACATATTGCTTGAAACTCTTGCAAGAGCAATAAGACAAGAGCAGGAAATTAAAGGAGTAATAACTGGCAAAGAAGAGATCAAATTATCCCTTTTTGCAGATGATATATCTAAGAAACGCCAAAAATTCCACCAGAAAACTCCGAGAAATTATTAACGCGCTCAGTAAAGTGTCAGTTTACAAAATTAACCTACAAAAGTTTGCACCCTTTCTATATACCAATAACAAGCAATGAGACAAAGAGCACATGGAAACATTCCCCTTCACAATAGCTGCAAGAAAAATAATAAAATATGTTGGAATAAACCTGACCAAAGACATTAAAGACCTCTACGATGAAAAATTTAAATCTCTAAAGAAAGAGACTGAGGAAGACATCAGAAGATGGAAGGC